GGGCTGGATCTTATGACCCTGAGATCATGACCTGAGCCAAAATCAAGAGTTGGGGATACTCAACCACAGAGCCACCCAGGTGCCCAAAGAATTTGCATTTCTAGGAAGTTTTCAGATAATACTGATACTGCCAGGTCTGTTGAGAATTAAAAGTTAAAGCAATGGTTCTCAATCCCATTTGCACATTAGAATCACTTTGGTTCAGTTTTTTAAAATTCCAGTGCTTTGGTCCCAACTTCAGAGGTTCTGATTCAGGTAGCTTGGAGTGGGACCAGGATTTAGTAAGTCTTTTATAAAAAGTGTTCCAGGTGATTTAAAAGTACTACAAAGGTTGTGACCCACTCTTCGGAAGGAGGGAGGCTTTCACTGTTGCTCTGTAAGATAAATAGTATACTAAAAAGGTAAATTGGATGTTGTTTTTAAGTGTAGGCATACAATTATCTATAGAACTCTCCAGAAAACCAAAAAATTTATGTTTTTACGTATGCATTTTACACATGTACATATCCTGTATAAGCTGATGGAGGGGCCGTGTCTTCTGTAGCATTGTACCTTATAGAGAGCTCTTTGTATCTCAAGTAGAATACTAGAAATTTTGTGGACAAGACCATTTTCTGACAGTGCTTAGGGTCAGAAAAACAATCTAAATAGTGATTATTTCATGTATCATTGGCACCTCTAACATTTATCCTACCATTGAAGTTTAAAGATCCCTATATCCGTGTCAAACATTACAATATTATTATAATAATATTTAAAAATTATAAAAATACATTAGAATGGTCTGTTAATTTTCATTTATTTTCACGGTTCAAATAGGTTGAAATCTTTACATTTCTTCACATTTATATTATGAATTAAAGATACTGAGGTACATTTTATTAATGGTTTTTGTTACTGTTCAGATAGTCTAGGGGAAATGCTCCTTGATGACTTAGTTTAATAAGCTTGCAGGTGTGTTCTGAAAATAAACTTATATCTGTTTTTTTCTTGGTCTCCACTGCTAAGCCAAAATAACCAAAACACATCAAAAGAATAATTTACATGATGGGATCATTATTTCTGATTCTAATTAAGAACTGTCATGAAATAAGCACATCGAAAGGTAGAAATTCCTTTAGAGCCTAATATTCATTAATCTGAAGTTATGTATGCTGCATATGGATTATTCAGGCTCCCTGCTACTTTTTCTCCATTCAGTAGCTTCTTTATAATTATTTGTATATGAATAATGTGCCATTATTTTTGGTTTTAGTTTTATATCTGTTTTCTTGAAACTGAAAACTTAGAGCCTGTTCTTTGAGCCATCTTCCAGTAAGGGGATGAATTTGCATAGATGCAACTCATTATTTCTGGTCCCTCTTTTTTGAGAAATGTCTAGGATGAAGATAAAAGTTTTAGCTATGATATTGAGAAATTGATAAGACCACACAGTGGGACTAGGGCATCAGTTCTTTGTTCCTGTCACATGAAGATGGGCTGATAGGAGAAATGTGTGCAGCACAAAGTAATTTTTAAGAATTTTTATATAGTCAGCTCTTAAATATTGAAACCACATGATTATTTTGTTTTAATAGATTTATTCTAAAAGTAGTTTAGAATTCTCATAGTTTTTGTTTTGTTTTTTGTTTGTTTTTGAAAGAAGGTAGGAGAGATATGTCCATTGAAGTAGAGATTTTGAGGCTGAGTATAATACTGGCGCAGATATTATTTTGGTAACTTATACGAAACCAGAGCTGGAGACTACATTTGAATCCTCTTTGGCCAGTTTCTTGTTCAACCTCAGGAAATCCGGTTGTTGAGGCGCCACCTATCATTAGCAGCCCACCAACAGCTTATTGCCAGCTGGAACCACTAGGGGGCAGTAATTCCTAGATAGTTTCAAATGATGCAGGACCATTCAATTCCAAGCTGGTATAAAACATATGATCCTTAGTGCTAACTTGCCTCTTTTTTTTTTTCCCCCTAAATTGATTTCATTGCTACTGTTAGTGGATGGCATCAAGTATAAATATTTTTAAAGGATGAATTTTTTTTTGGTAAAATTAATGCTTTTTTTTTTTTTTTACAGGGCAATAAATGTGTTCATAAGTGCCAACCGACTAATTCATCAAACCAACTTGATACTTCAGACCTTCAAAACTGTGGCCTGAAAGTTGTATATGTTAAGAGATGTACTTCTCAGTGGCAGTATTGGACTGCCTTTATCTGTAAATTTTAAAGTTTGACTGTATAAATTATCAGTCCCTCCTGAAGGGATCTAATCCAGGATGTTGAATGGGATTATTGCCATCTTACACCATATTTTTGTAAAATGTAGCTTAATCATAATCTCACACTGAAGATTTTGCATCACTTTTGCTATTATCATTCTTTTAAGAATTATAAGCCAAAAGAATTTACGCCTTAATGTGTCATTATATAACATTCCTTAAAAGAATTGTAAATATTGGTGTTTGTTTGACATTTTAACTTGAAAGCGATATGCTGCAAGATAATGTATTTAACAATATTTGGTGGCAAATATTCAATAAATAGTTTACATCTGTTAAACATTTCTTTACTTGAAAAAATACATATATATATATATATGAATATATATATATGATCAGAAGACCAAGATGACTTGGTGTAATGTCTAAAGAACTTCTAACGGGAGCTTACTAGCAGTTTATCAGATAATAAAGCAACAAGAATTCTATTTTTTGGTCCTTAATCACTCTGGGCAAAAGGTAGTCAATGGAAATATTTTTGTTAGTTAATATATATGAGGTACTGAATATTTTTGCAGCCTGTTTTAAGAGACTTATGAGAAAGAAATGGCAATTTATAGTGTCTTCACACTATAATGTCACTTTTTCAACTCTATGACAATGTAAAATTAAGGTTTTCTGGTATGCTGGGCCCTAATAAGCTTTGTACCTTTTTTCAAAAAATAGCCGCAACTAATAGTAATTTGAAGCTATACCAGTGCTAGTTGGTTTGAAATTGTCATGAGTGTTATAAATGTTATACACACTCTTTAAATATATAGAGCTTTGTTTCACCATAGAGAAGTTTTAAGGAAATTGTTTCAAGTGATCATGTTAAGTGATTTCATTTTTCAATTATGATAAAATAAAGGGGAAATCAGGATTTGTTTATCTTTTATAAAGATTTTAAATGTTAAACTAAATTTCTGTTTGGCAATATAAATTTCTTTGCTATAATGCAATTTAGTTATTTTTAAACTTTTTTCTTTATTTTTAAAAATAGATTTTTAAAGAATTACTGTCAATGACAGTATAAAAGGAAATTGTCCTATTAGATGTGAATAGGAAATATATGGAAAGAAGCAAAAAAAAAAAAAGACAATTGGATGAAATCTCATAATTTATGGACATTTTACTGAGTTGATTTTTTTTTTTTTTTTCAAAATACATAGCTGGTAAAACAAATGGAATTGGTGATTTTAATACAGTTTATTTTTTATATAAATTATTCATTCCTGGAAATAGACAGATGGTTGTTTGCAAAATAGACTTGTGAATATATGAAGAAAAAATATACTGTTTTTTTCTGAGCAGCAAACTTTTCTAATACAGACTAATACTATCTTCCCTCCAATTGTCTTGACCTCTTTAACAGAACTCACCAGCTAACCAGCCATTCCCCAAGTCATCTGTTTTTATAAGCCATCTATCTTTCCATTTCACTGTCCAGTATCTCTGGCTTCTGTTTTCATGAAGTTTATCAGAAAGTTTACTCAGAAGGAAGGTTTGTTCTCAGGATAATGCTGTTTCTTACATAATTCTAATGGGGGCATGTTTCGATCAATGAGGAAAAGGTGAACATGGCCCCAGATTCATCTCCAGAGAACAGAAAGAAAAGGAAGAGTAGGAGACATTTGTTGAGCACCCTTCTCTGTGTCAAGTGCTATTCTAGATGCGTTAATTTAATTCTCTTAACAGTCCCATGATTAAACTGTCTGTCTTGCAAGTGAGGAAACTGGCTACAAAGCAGGAAACTTCTGGCACCAGGATTTGAATTCAGTGTTTGCCTCCATGCTCTTTCCACTGATCTGTACTTCATCCACTGCTGAAAACACACCTTGTCTAGAATACTAATTCCCTAATACCAAACGGACAAAGCTCCCCTTGTCCACAGGGAAATGAGAAAAATTAGGATAATGTGATTTTTTTTTTCTTAAATATAAATTTATGCATTTTAAAGGACCATTCTTTTTTTGGGTATGACTACTATGTTTTGGATATTTAAAATGCCCCTCCTCACACTTTTCTTTTTTTAAACAAAATGACATAATGGTCAGTAGTAGTTTTTTTTTTTTTTAAATGATTGGAGTTTAATAGCCTTGTTAGCAAAACATGAGGTTCACAACCCAGTATCAGTTCCTAATTGTTTTTTTTAACTTTCTATATGGAAATGATTTAAAATTTACCAAAAATTGGCAAGAATTAAGAATAATACAAAGGACATCAGTACATGTTTTACCCAGATTTTCCTTTTGTTTAAACCTTACCATTTTTTTTTATCATTTGGTGGTTTGTTTGCCCTCAAATCCCCTCTACTCTGGGATCATTTCCATGTCCCCCTTTGTCTTTTATGGCATTGATATGACATGTTTTTGGAGAATGCAGTCTTTTTGTCCCCCTCCCCCTCCCGAAAAGAATTCGTTCCTCATTTGGGGTTTCTGCATTACATTCAGGTTATGCATTCTCAGAATACTCCATCAGTGATACTATGTCATCAGAGCATCACATCTGGGGGCACTGAGTGTCCATCTGCTCCTCATTGGTGATGTTAATTTTGGTCACCTGGTCAAGGTGTTTTTCAGTTTCTCCAATATATAGTTACTGTTTTTTACCTTGTGTCTAATAATCTGAAGAAGACTCTTTTAAGTCCATGCTATAACCAGGATTTAGTAGCCTTTGGTGATTTTTGCTTATCAGTCTTTGCTAGTTGCAAAATGCTGATTTTTCTAACTCCAGCGTTCCGTCCTCATCTACCATTTGGCACTCAGCATTCTACTGTTAGCAGGAACCCTTTCTCCCCCAGCCATCCATTTGTTCATCTATACCTATGCGTGTATGGTTTTATATTTACTATTGTTTTGGACTCTTGGTTGTCTGTTTTTTCAGTGGCTTATAATTCATTACTTTGGTGCTTAAATTGTCTTAAATTTGCTCAGTAGGAGCTCCTTCAATCTGGCTCCTATGTCCTTGTGGCATCGTTTTAGTTTTATTTATTTATTTATTTATTTTAGGACATTCTCTTAAATAAAAGATGTTCCAGGATCTGGAATCAGCAATTTCTCCAAGAAACCCTGGGGAATGATATTAGACACATAGCTCTGGTTGCTGGGTGTCATCTTCTAGGCCTATTCAGCAGACAGAATTAGGAAATGTGCATGTACATCTGTAAACACATAAATATGCATGTGCCATGTACATTTTACATGTGCTTATATACACATTGTGTTTGATTTCAGAAATCATGAGTTCACACTAATACCTCCAATTTCTATCCATCCTCAGGGGTCTTGTCTTGACTTCCCCATTCCATATTCCCATGTCTCTGTTTTTTCAGAATTCTGGCACAAGTCAAGTTTATTCACTTGGTCAATCCTGTAGTACATCTGAAGTAGTTCTTAGAATTGCTTTTGCCCACGTCACTGTAAAAAAACACTTAAAAGCTTGTTTGCAGTTCTCTCCCTACCTGTACTCTGCCCAATAATAAGGATATATAATTACATTCTGTGTTCATAAATTACTTGGGTTCTTTTTTCTCTCACTGTGATTATGTTATTTATTTGAAATAAATTGGATTCATTTGTTTCAGTTTTTTTCCAAGTTTAAGGTCCCCCCTACACACATATTTCACATCCTTGTTGATTTAATTTTTAAAAAATACGTGGAATGCTAACATGTTTCTAAAAGTCGTAACTATACCAAAGGTTTACTGAGAAGTGTTACTTTCTCATATCCCTTCTGTCCCATTCCCCAGCCCCTTCTTGGGTATCCAACTTCACTGTTCCCCCCCACCCCATGTTTCTCTTTATGAAGAAATGTAATGAAGGTGTTTTCTTATCTCCCCCGCCCCCCCGCCTTTTCTTACAGTAAAGGTAGCATACATACAGAGAGAGAGCCTTTTTGCCGAGGACTGAAGTTTCTCGGGGTATGGGACTTTCAGTGCTAAAACTGGGAGAGTTGGGCAAACTGGGAGGGCTGGCCACTCCATAAACTTGCTTTCTAAAAAAATAACTCATTGGTGCATATTGTACATATTATAAAATTCACGTATATATCCTTAACTTCATTGAGGTATAATTTCACAAAATTCACTCATTTTAAAAAATTGTGCAACCTGACCAAAATCCAGTTTTAGAACATGTTCATCATTCCGGTAAACTTTCTCATGCCTGATTACAGTTAATGTGTGTTCCCACCACTCCCTGCCCCCTCCCCCGTTCCAGGCAACCACTAGTTACTTTCTGTCTCTATAGATTTTCCTTTTCTGGTTATTTCATATAAATAGAATCATACCATATTATCTTTTGAGTCTGGCTTCTTTTACTTAGTATGTTTTTATGTTCATCCATGTCATTGCATATGTCAGCATTTCTATCAGTATTCTTACTGCTAAATAGTATTCCATTATATGAATTCCTGTTTTATTTATTCATTTAATAGTCAATGGACAATTGAGTTGCTTCCTCTTTGGCCCTGATGCATAATGCTGCTCAGATCATTCATGTGCAAGTCTTTTGTTGCCATGGGTTTTCATTTCTTTTGGGTAAATACCTAAGAGTGGAATTGTTGGGTTGTGTGATTAATTTGTATTTTAACTTTTTAAGAAACTGTCATACTGTTTTCCAACTTTACATTGCCACCAGCAATATATGAGGGTTCCTGTTTCTCCACATCCTCTCTAGCATTTGTTAATGACTTTTTTTATTATAGACGTTCTTATAGATACAAAGTGGTATTTCATGGTTTAAATTTGCATTTCCCTAATAACAAAGTTGAGCATCTTTTCATGTGCTTATTAGCTATTTCACATAATGCTCTTACGGATTTTGCTTTTTTCACTTAGCATCTCCAGAAGTCACTTGTATTTTTCATAGAGATTTCTCTTTCTCTTTCTCTCTCTCCCTCCCTCCCTCCCTCTCTCTCTGTTGTGGCCTAGCATTCCACTGTGTGGACATACATAGTTTATACAATCAACCTGCTATGCTTGGGCATTCAAGTAGTTCAGTGTTTTGCAAAATTACAGATAATGTTACAACAAATGATCTTACATATTTCTGTTTTGAAGTACACCTTCAGGGTAGATTCCCAGAAGTGGGATTACTAAGTGAAAAGACATATGCATATGTACTTTTATTACATATTGCCAAATACTTTTCCATAAAGGTTGTGGTAATTCACATTCCACCAGGAATGCATGAGACTTTCTGTTTCCCCAAAACTTCAGTATGTTGTCAAGCTTTTGAGGTTTTGCTAATCTGATGGGTGAGAAATGGTATCTCATTATAGCTTTAATTTGCATTCCTCTCACAATGAGTGAAGTTAAATATCTTTCATGTTTAAGGACCATTTTTATATCTTTTTTCATGATTTTGAATTTGCTCATGCTTTTTTTTAATCATGCAAACTTTTTTTTTTATGTAGACAAATTTAACAATTCCTCCATGAAACCAT